GGTGGGGGGTGTGTCTACCGCTCTGGGGCTGCGGGATCTCCACCGGAGATGGCTCGTTCACCGGGCGCACTCCGGCCCCGGGGCGTCTGCCCGACCTCTCCCCAGCCAGGCACTCACCGGCCCGGCCCCCAGTGGTCTACCCATGCCCCGAGGCAAGGACTCACTCCTCCCGGCCCCCAACTGTCTAACTTCGGCCCCAGCTCACCAAGGAGTCCACAGCTGGCGAAGGTACAAGGTAAATAAGAAGAGTGAGGTTCAGTAGCCCGGAGCTTAGACTTCGCCAGGTCGGCTCAGCCTTTAAAGCCCGGCCTGCCCTGCCCACCCCGGCTTCTAGCCTCGCGATTGGCTACACCGCCCTGTGGGCGGGCACCGTGATTTCTCGCACGTGATTCGATTCCATCCCTGCCTGTCGGAAGACCCGGGGGGCTTGCTGTGACTCATAACCGCACCTGAGGGCTCAGATACACGGATCTCTCCAAAATGAGAGTCAAACTGAACCTTGCCATTTGTGTTTTTTTGCCCTAGTTTATCCTTAGTAAAGCCTAGAGGGCAAAATCCGGAGGCCTGGTGACTCAGTGGTTAAGACTTTGGCAACTGGTGCCCGCCCGCTGTGTTGTGGAAGATCCAGCAGCCTGTTCCTATAAAGATTTATAGGCTTTGAGAACTTTAGGGAGCAATTCTGTCTAACCCAGCGCAGACTTGCAGTGGAGGAAAGAAAGCCTGGGCAGGCATTCTTCTCCCAGAGTCAATGATTCTAGGAAAGTTTGATCCCGGAACCTGAAGGGACTGGACTGGATGGGTCCATTTTGATTGGCGATTTGTGATTCATTGAACTTTCCTGCCTTTTGTGGTTTAGGGGTTCTCATTCCTCATAGTCCTCTCTCAAAATCACCGTTAAGTAAATTATGTACAGGAGAAAAGTTTTCTGCGAAAATAAGAGCAATTGAAAATGATGGAAACTATTTTTACTTCCCAATTCTTTATTAAGGATTGTTTTGTCTTTTGGAATATATGAGAGCTATATATCTTGAGATTCAATCTAAGAAATTTAAGAGTTCTAGTAGTTTAGTGATTCAAAGGCTCTTTGTTCAAATCCACCAGCTACTTGGCAGGAGGAAGATGAACCATCTCCTCTGAATGCTGAAGGGTCAGCTATGAGTTGGCTTCCACTCGGTTGTACATACAACATTAAACTGTAAGATAATAAATCTGTTGTTGCTTTTCTTTAAAAGAAATTTACTTTAACCATACTTGATACTCATTAATTTCCATTTTAAATGGAGGAAGTGCATAGAAAATTAACAATTTTAAAAACGTAATTATTTCTAAAAGAGTTTCAGAAATGTAAACATTCCTAAAAGTTTGTGTTTTGTTCATTGCATAAGAAACGGTCACTACAGTAAATTTATTTTAGAAAAAAATCATTATCACATACCCAAATACTGTTAGTCCTTTTCAATATATATCTTCACTGTTGTTTTACAAAATTTGAGTCACAATATATATTCATTTTGTAAACTTTTCCCCCTTGAGACTATTTAGAAAAAAATCTTTTGCTTAAAGTCACATTGATAGATCTTCTAAAAGCACACGTAAGCCAGTATTTTTAAAAGCTTGTTTATTTAATGTTTTCAGTTTTTATAATCTTTGAAGCAGAAGTCCACAAACTACTAGAAGCAGAATCTTTCAGGAGGCTTTGACAGTACTATACGGCAAATATTCACTTTTTAAATAAAGAATTCTAAGAAACTGGAAGCAGGAGTGGCATCCACTTCCTAAACAACATGCATCTGGAAACTCTATTAACTTTGATAAATGTTGATAGTTATAGAAAGGCTTGGGACCTTTGTTCATAGAGTGGCTACGGTTCATGCTAGACTCAAAGGCAATCAATAAAAAGATATGAATTTTATAAAAAAATAGGTTTCCGTAACAAAGAATTTTCTCAATAAGATAAAGAGATAGCCTAAAGAATGAGGGGAAATATTTGCAAACCATTTATGTGATAAGGCTTTAATATCCAGAACATAAGGATCCTGAGAAGCAAAATTTGTTTGCCGTTGACTGCTAACATAAAGTTCAGCTGTTTGAATCCACACAGTCACTTGGAGAAACACAACTTGCGAACTTTCATTGATTTTACAACCAATGGAGCTGTAAAAAATGGTGTCATTTTGGATCAAAAGTTAAAACAACAATATCCAGACTGCATAAAGGAAGCCCACACCCCTAAAAATAGAAACATAAAGAATCCATTAAAAAATGAACAAGTGACTTCAATAGTTTATCATATTAAAGAAGGTATAAAAATAGCCAATAAGAGAATGAAAAGATCCTCAACATATTAGTAAGTAGGAAGATAAATAAGACTCAAAACCATAATTAGATACTACACCACCCTCACTTGGAGGATTATGAGTTCCTAGGTGGTATCCAACTACTAGACAAAAGGTGGTAGTACAAATCCATCCAAGGACACCTTGGAAGATAAGCTTGGTGAGCTGTTTCCAGAAGGTTAAGGTCTTGAAAACATTGTATCAGTTCTTTCTGCTGCATACAGAAGGTTACCATGAGTTGAAATAAATTCAAAGTAAATTAATAACAACAATAAAATGCCTGTGATGTTGAAACAAATGAAAACCAGAAAATAGGTATTCAGCAAGATTTGGAGAAATTGGAACCTTTGTCTGTTGCTGTAGAAAGCTCTGATGGCTCAGTGGTAAGAAGCATTGTTGTTATCTATAGTCAAATCAGAACTGACTCATAATTGACCCTCCAGCTGATTTTCAGAGACAGTCAATTGCATGGGAGCAGAGTGCCCTTCTTTCTCCCACAGAGCAGCTGGTGAATTGGAACTGCTTGACTTTGGGTTGACAGTGCAACTCCTTACCACTTATCACATGAAGCAAAATATTGCTGTAGATCATCCAAAAATTGCTGGAATAATACATTAACCAGAAACTGACAGAAATTCAAACTCTCTCTCTCTGTGTGTGTGTGTGTGTGTGTGTGTGTGTGTGTGTGTGTGTTAATTGAGATTTTAATGAAAGTGTATAGAGAACATGGATTTCCATTCATTCATTGTTGCACATTTTCCTCCCTGCCCACCCATCCCCCCAGTTCAAACTGCATATAGAAAGGCCAGAGCACCAGAAATATCATTGCTGATGTCAAATGGATCTTGGCTGAAAGAAAAGAATATCAGAAAAAAAAGTCTATTTGAGTTTTATTGTCTGTAAAGTATTTGTGTGAATAATGACGTATGATGGCTAACATTGAAAAGAATGGCAGTACCAGAGTACTTTTAAAATGTACAAATCAAGGACAATTCTTTGCATCTTGTTGTGTATCTGTCATAATGATGGGGTTTCTTTGGGTTTTAAAATATA